AACAACAAAAGCAACATGCAACATACTATTCACAACTTCAATTGTGTGTTTTCAATTCTCTCCTAAACTGCAACAGTGAAATCCCTGGTCGACGAATGACGCATGGAAGACTGTTCCATATTTTCGTACCACATACAGCAAAGTTACGAGACCCAATCTTCAATTTTGACACCCGATCTGTCAAGTTATTCTGATCGTTTGATCTCAAGACAAAATTTTGAGCAGTCATATCTTTGAGTGTAAACATCTCCGTCAGATATCGTGGTGCCAAACCATTTAAACACTTGAACATTAATAAGCAAATTTTAAAAACAATCCTCTTTTCAATTACCAACCAGTGCAAATCCTTAATCAATGGAGTCACGTGATCATACTTTCGTCCACCCATTACTACTTTAGCTGCTCTATTCTGTACAGATTGCAACAGTGCAATTTCATTCGCTGAAACACCATACAGTAGGCTGTTGCAGTAGTCCAAACGTGAGTGGACAAATGAATGAACTAATGCCATCAAAGCGGGCTTGCTGACGAATCTCTTAATGCGCTGCAACTGACGTAGATGAAAACAACATGACTTTACGACACCCCGTATATGATCCTTCATGGTCAGATTAGCATCAAGTGTGAAGCCCAGAATTGTGGATGATCTTTCAAATTTAACAATGACATTTCTAATGCATCTCGATGTATTTCTGATGTCTGCTGCCATGTACCAATTGGCACTAACTTGGTTTTATCTTTGTTCAATTTTATTCCATTTTGTGACATCCAAATATTTACTGCAGCCAACGCATCTTTCAGTCCTTCAGCTAAATCATCAAACTTTTCAACAGGAGCACATGACACTAATTGAATACTCGCCGTCGTAACCGATTTACGACGGGTTCAAATCTTCGATTGAATAAAATACTCCAAACAGTTATTAGTTATTAAACTTTATTTACAGAAGAAATCAACTAATTGTTTATTTCTAGCAAATTCAAATTAACACAACAATTAACTTTTAAATTGTTCAAAATCTATCGCTATGACAAAACAAATCAAATATCGCTTTAAATAATTCACCGAATCGCTATTCACAAAATCACAGAGTCACGAATTTACAAAATCACGAATTTCACTAATCACGGATTTCACTAATCGCTAATCTTGCGACGTGCGCTTATATACTCTTCGCAAGCGTCGTTTCTAGATTCTTCTAGATGGTCCGATTCTAGCATACTCCAGAATGCTCCAGTCACTAGAACATTCTAGAATACGCTAGAATCTAATGCGTTCGGTAGCACGGTTATAACATTACCCCCTTCTTAGTTCTGTTCGTCCCGAACAGCTTTCGTTCCGGTGTCCGCATGGTACGGAGCCAGTCTATCCAAATGAACGATCTTCATTCTTGCTCTCGGCTTCCGATATTCCTGAATATGGTAGACGACGTCATTCAAGCGGGTGATGACTTGATAAGGTCCTTCCCACCCTCGCTGGAGCTTTGGAGAACGTCCTTTCTTTCGCTGTGGGTTGTACAGCCAAACTAACTCGTCGACAGCAAAACCGCCACTGCTTCTTTTCAA